GCCCCGCCCCCTGTGGGCGGAGCTCAGCAGAGCTCATATGTGCTCTGTTGATCTTATCTTAGGCTCCACTCATCCCAAACTTGCCCCGACCTCTAATGGTGCTTTTAGGTGATGTTGAATTTTCCGTTGAACATACAAACATACATACAAACATACATACATACACACATTCCATATGTACATACAGACACACCAAGCTTGTGGATTATATATAGTAAGGATTGGCGCGCGATCGGTAGCTCACATTACGATACTTCTTTGCAGATCTTGACGATGTTGTCGTCAAATGATCATATTCACGATATACCAGTCGAAATGATAGATACAAAAATTTATGCCCAAAGATAAGAAACATTCGTCCGAATTTTATCTATTACAAATAAGTTATCTGGTCTTGTTTGATTTCACAGGAATTTACAACAGTATGCAGTGAAGAAATGTTGCAACAGCTGTTTGAACACTCGCAGTTGTCACCTTCTCGTCCCGTATCAAGAACACAATAAGTTTTAGAAAGCAGTTTGAATGTTCCAAATACCGGAAGATACCAGCTAGTTATTGTCGCTCCTTAATTTGATTACGAGCCACATCCTTAGGCTATGGAGATTAGAGCGCAGCCCACCATGAAACTGAGTACTCCTCCAAAGTAGGTCATAGAAGTGCTGGTGTCTAATAGTGCATCAGTGGCGAAGGAAGCGGGGAAATCTGCAGAATTCGCGGGACGTTAGAGTTCCTCAAGCTGGTTGAACTAGGGATCGTACGAGACAATGACGATGATGGTAGTTATTTAAAGGAGATTCTAGTCATGTGCAATAGCGTGAAATGGAAGAATGCCAAAGTTATTAATTTACTACTGTCGCTATGGATCAGGGCGATCAATTGTTTGATTTTTTATCATTTTCAATGGATCACCTCTGCATGGATTCTGAAAAGCATCCAATTCTGGGTGTGGTGTACAAGAACGACAATTTTTTGACCCTTACTGCGCTCTATTTCCTCCGTGTTTATCCCGGAAACGACCCATGTGCCATACTTGGTATTCGAAAATTAGTCCTAATAAAAAATCTCAAGAAACATCTCTAACGTATACGGTTTCTTGAGGCTGGCCTAATACCAGCCTATTTAGACCAGCAGCCTCGTTCTTGGATTTTTTTCGAGACACTAGAGTTGTTTACACGATTCATTGCTGTGCTGCTGTTTTCCAAATGATTACACCTATTCAGAAATTAAATAGGGGAAATTCGAAAAAACTGACGACTTTTGATCACTGACTCTCACTCTCACCATCCAAAAATTTGATCAGTGTTCTACCGACTGTTTAATTCCGACAAGTTTTTAAGGATTTTTCATTTTGTGTATTGCTATGACTGCACTCCATAATATCTAATAAGGGAACCCCATAAAGCTTTCCCATTGCCCAAACCTCCCTACTAACTGATAAAAAAATATTTTCTCCTCTTAAACGTAAACCACATTGCTTCTGAGGACACTTCCACTGCTAAGGACTCTTCCAATCGGACCGCCGTAATCGGACTCGACATTGATGAGGACCCACATTCGAATGAAAGTGCCGAAAACCATTGCGCGATTATGAGCTGTCTCAAAATGTTACAAATTATGGGTTCCTTGGAAAATTATGCGGTTTGAGACCAATAAGTTTGGCCATCTCGTTCCCGATGGGCCTTGGAAGGTCGACATGCCACGACCAGAACTCTTCAGTTTTCCTTCCTTCTTTACTTCACGAATAATCCATAACCCTGGGCTTTTATGCTTTGCCAGTCTTGATGGAACATGTAGATAGTCTTCAAATGATGAGAGATCTGTCTCCAACGTCGACAAGAGCACTACATTGGTTGACTAGCTCTATTACACAATTTTCTTCCTGCATTTGCCTTATAAGTATATATTGGAGTACAAATGATTAAATAGCTTCAGTGTATCTCATCACAAATGCAATCTCGATAAAAAGCTTCGATGTAATGAGGAAATTAACATTAACAATTCGGGATTACCAAAACAGAAAACAGTTCTTCACGTAAGAAATTCCACATCAAATTCCGCGTTTTTCCGTTGTTCACTCTATGAGTTGAATCAAAGTGGAGTGTTTGGAGAGCTGGATGTACCGTCGAGTCCTGGTTGTCAAGTTTTATAAGACGATGCCACACAGTATTGGAAGTGCTTCTTTTCGTATTGTGTTGCGCCACACACTTCAGTTCCATCCAAAGGGTGATTGCGGGTATATGGAGTGCACGCTTAAGTACTTGTAGGGGCTGATTGTTATGTGAAACAAAATGTTCAGAATTAGCTTTGTAGTGCTCCACGTACACCAGTCCCCTTAGTGCAATGTAAAATTAATGTGGAGGCTGTAGATGACTGCTTCTACAGTCTCTGCGCTCAGCACTCCTTACATGTTTCAATGAGAATATGACATCAACTTCCGACAAAATAAATGAGCCGTTTTTTGACATTCTCCAATCCTTAGAGGGACTTGCTTCGAAATCTAAGGAGGGCGCGGTGAGGCACCTTGTTATCGCAGACAGCTCTTCGTTCTCTGCGAGGTTTTTATGGTACACATTATGATAGATAAAATTTTCCATCTCGGTATGGCCCCGAACTTGATACACGCCCAATTCATAAAATCATGTTTATCCCCTTTCCATTGGGCGTTTTACAACTAAATTGCACACTGTTAGTTTACACGCGAAAAGTGCTATGAAATGATTCATGGGTGAACCCGTGGCCCATGGTGATAAAAACCTCCCCTCTTGACCATTCTCTGCCGTATGCCTTTTGCTGCTTGGTTTCCTGCTGGGCATGTTTGGGTGGCACTGTAGTGACACGGTCTGAATA